AGCTTGCAGTTCTCTAACCATTGCACCACCAGGGCTCCTTGACTCATCTAAATATTCTCTTCTATTGATAATATAGGTATCTTTTTCAAATGGTAAGGCCACACTTGGAGTACTGCATTCAGCTTTGGTCGCCACGATGTAAAAAAAAAAGATGTGGAGACTCTAGAAAGAGCGCAGAGAAGAGCAACAAAGATGATTAGGGGACTGGAGGCTAAAACATAGGAAGAACAGTTGCAGGAACTGGGTATGTCTAGTTTAATGAAAAGAAGGACTAGGGGAGACATGATAGCAGTGTTCCAATATCTCAGGGGCTGCCACAAAGAAGAGGGAGTCAAGCTATTCTCCAAAGCACCTGAGGGCAGGACAAGAAGCAATGGGTGGAAACTAATCAAGGAGAGAAGCAACTTAGAATTAAGGAGAAATTTCCTGACAGTTACAACAATTAATGAGTGGAACAACTTGCCTCCAGAAGTTGTGAATGCTCCAACACTGGAAGTTTTTAAGAAGATGTTGGATAACCATTTGTCTGAAGTGGTATAGGGTTTCCTGCCTAAGCAGGGGGTTGGACTAGAAGACCTCCAAGGTCCCTTCCAACTCTGTTATTCTAAATATACATTAAAATATAGATATGAATGTATTTTGATTGGAGGATTCAAAACACAGCCTTTGAAGCACGGGGCATTCAAATGTTGACAGAGGACACTTCAGTGCACTGATAATGTTCCCTACTGTAATTTGGAAATGAAACATCTGCAATAAAATAACCAAGCTCAGAGAGCACCAAGTATCCCACAGAAATAAATCTGTTCTGTAATCTGATTCTATCTGATTTCTAGATCAAGTATCTTGATGAAATTGACTTGCTTATATCTTAAGGAGAAACACTGACTCTTCCAAGTTTCTCTGGGAGGTTTCGGTAGAACTAGGGTTAGGAGCTCATGAATGATGATCCTTTGTACGAACGATGACCATTTGTACAATCCCAGTCTTACTATGGGAATTGCTATAGTAACCATTCTTTCCACAACCTTACGCTGATTAAGTTTGATGATTGATGAACTTTGAGGAAAACATAAAAGTGCAGCCAAAGATCCTGCAAAGATATCTCCTTCCTGGCATTTCAGTAAAAGAGGTGGAGAGAGGCATGTTAAACAACAACGTTTACAGATAATTTAATACAGTCAGAGGAATGAGATTCCACAAGGCTTCCTCAGATTGGAAAGCAACAGCTGATCTACGTCATAACACATTACAGCATTTGACAAGGTAGCCATCCTTCTATAATGTTCTCGCAGGCAGCTTGCTGCAACCTTTCCCCACTCCCTGAAGCAGTCCTTGCTTTACAAACAGATTAATCAAGATAACAGAAAGATCTGCCAGCTCCTGAACAACTACAAGAAATTAGTCTATTTATTATACATATCTTCTGGGGAAAGCTAAATATCTGCAATTTGGTGTTTTGTTTTGTTTTGTTTTGTTTGTTTAAAAAAAATCAAGAAAAAATGGGGTTAACTAATCAGTGACATTTCAATAATCTGCAGTTCAGACTAAAATTTAATTCCACCATCATCACTGCCAATCTTGTTTTAAAGGGAAGTTGCAGTATTTAAAGCAAAATGTGAAATAACTTCTGAATTAGTGTGTGTGTGTGTGTGTGTGTGTGTGTGTGTGTGTGTGTGTGTAGGATGTGTATATGTATCTGCATGTACATATACACAAACACATATACTTTTGAGAATGGGCATCAGAATTTCATTTTTTTAAATGTGTACCAGTATGTTCACAGAAAAAAAGTGACACTACACCTTGCCTTGCCTATCTCATCTCATCTCATCTCATCTCATCTCATCTTATATCTTATATCTTATATCTCATATCTCATATCTCATATCTCATATCTCATATCTCATATCTCATATCTCATATCTCATATCTCATATCTTATATCTTATATCTTATATCTTATCTCATATCTCATGCCTTATGCTTTATACCTTATACCTTACCTTAGTCTACCATACCTACCCTACCCTATTCTACCTTACCTTATCTTCTTCAGCAAAAGGTGCCACATCACTTTTTTTAAAAAAAAAATCTAGATCAGTGGTCTATGGACCCTGGGGGAGGTATAATGTCATCATAGGGGGTCTGCGAAGGCTTAAAGAAATGATTTAAATCTTGAGTTAAGTGTTGGTGGTCCATGGCCACAAAAGGAATTTAAAGGGTGTTCCTGGGGAAGAAAAGGTTGAGAACCACTGATCTAGAATAATAGCCAATACCTTTTATACACATCTGCTCCAAACATTTAGGGAAGCTCTGTTAAAAATTTCCTAAATTCGTGAGGTCACTGAGCATGGACCAGGTGGGTGGCCCAAAGCTTTAGAACATGCTTTCTCCAAAAGAACATTCAGCTCCTTTCCTGTTTGAATTCTGCAAGCTGCTTAAATTGGTTTGTTGGTTTGATTGATTGATTAATTGATTTTGTGTGATCTTTTTTAGTCAAATGTATTTATTCTGTGGTTTGTGAATGCTTTTTTTTTTATTATTGCTCTTTGCTGTCGACTGCCCAAGGACTTTATATATTGGGATGGAAGGCATATGCTATTAAATAAATAAATAATACTATGATGCTTCAAGTGCTGTCAATAAATGCATACTCACTAGTGCAGGTTCGAAATAACTTCTGAGCTTTCGTCAAATTGCACAAGAGAATTCTACATATCGCATACCATTTGTTTGGAGTAAACATTAAGGATTATTTTAATTTTTTTTTGTTAATATATTAAAGAGCTATCTCTTTTGTAGGTTAGACAGCTGGTGTCTGCTTCAAATGTGTGTGTTGAGTGGGGGAGGCAACTTTCCATAGTGGATCTGCCTTTAAAAAGTGCCCAGATTGTTAACCAATCTAACTGAATTTGGATTGGAATGTTGTCCTATTTGAACGTTGCTTTATTTCGAGGTCCAGAAACAAAGGAAGCTGGGACAAAATTGAAAGCAAAGATTTCAAAAGCAAAGGTTTCAAGGCCAGGATTGACCCTTGATTTTTACATGGTACAAAAAGTCCACAGTGGTGGAAGCCATGGACAATCTCATTCAGGTAGTCCTCAATTGATGACTCTAAACCAGTGTTTCTCAACCTTGGAAGCTTGAAGATGGGTGGACTTCAACTCCCAGATTTTGGGAGTTGAAGTCCACCCATGTTCAAACTACCAAGGTTGAGAAACACTGCTCTAAACTGAGCTTGGAGTTATAGGTGTAATTTGTTATGGTCATAAGACAAGGCACCCAGGGAAGTTATGGAAATAATTTTCTGGCCTTTTTTGCACCAGTTTTTAAGCAAACACCACAATTAATAAGGGAATCCATTCATCTGAATAGGGGTTTTTTCCCCAGAAACTGGCAAAGTCATTGCAAATTATGGTCATGTGACTACAGATCACCACAACTGGTAGTAAAGTGGAATTGCCTAACATGTGATCAATATGACTACAGGGGGTCATGGCCATTTATGATGGCCAGGGATACTTTATGGGCTGCAAAACACCTGTTCTATGGCCATCATAACTAGAAACTGTCATAAATCAACTGGTCATTAAGTAAGAACTATCTACCCACAGGGCTTGACATAATGCAACATCTATATCTTTCTGAAGGCTAAAAGGAAGATGGACTGCATATACCATTCTGATACACATGAGTAACTATCAGAAACCACATCCCAAGTAGGAAATAGTAATTCATTAAATAAGACAATATCTTACGCATAAATTTATTTATTTATCTTCTTCCACCATTTTCAAAGTTTCAGTATGGTTGTATATTCTTGGATTCACTTCCAATTAAAAACCCCTGAAATGCACAGGATGGTGAACATAACAGCTGTTGAATAACTCATAAAAATTTATGACTGATGCTACTTTTGCCCTGCAACATTTTGGAATCAAATCTGAAAACTGGTAGCCTGAATGTCTATGGAGATTCTCAGAAATGGCCATGATTGTTCCAAAGTTGCTTTTTCAAAGGCGACTGGATTTTCTTTGTGTTTTTTTCCCCCTGACTTCAGCTTTCCTTTGCTTTACATACCTTTGAATGTCATAAATGCAATGGTAGATGGATGGATGGATGGATGGATGGATGGATGGATGGATGGATGGATGGATGGATGATAAAGATAGATAGATAGATAGATAGATAGATAGATAGATAGATAGATAGATGCTAAAGATAGATAGATAGATAAATAGAGAGAGAGAGAGAGAGAGAGAGAGAGAAAGAGAGAGAGAGAGAGAGAGATGTAATGGTGCATCATAAGGCAACAATTTTTGAATCAAAATATTTTAAATGCACTATCTTAAAGAATGCATTCAAAAACCAGGATCCATGACCTCTGTAGAATTGAAATTTCAAAGATCTAATTGTAATTATTGCCACAATTAGTTGTAGTCATATGACATCTGACCCTCCCTCCCAGCTTCCCACAAGCAAAATCAATGTGGAAGCTAGCAGGAAGTTGGAAGATACTCTCGTTCCTGGAGCATGGTCCCAAAGCAGTTTTTGAATCAAATATATTAACTTAAATAATTTTATTTAAAAAATCCAGGTCTCATTGCTGCTATGGAATTGAAGTTTCCACCATCTTCAGAGCAGCATTACACACACACATACATGTGCTGATGAAGGGAGGAGAACTTGTGGCTCAGAGGTTAATACAACTGCCTAACATGCAGGCAACCCACGTTCGAATCCAAGTAAGGGTATGGCTAGCTGATGAGAGCTAAATAGCTTGAAATAGATCTATACTAGTCTCCCTTTATTTCTTTATCAGCGAAATATAAATTTTATATATATAAAATTTATATTTATATATATAAAATTTATATATATGACAATATGACACATGACATTTATGACATTATGACATATGACAATTATGACATTATGATATATGACAATTATGACATTCCTAAGGAAGACCCAACAGATCGTAGGTTGTCTAGTTCTAACCTAAAGATGATGTGAGAGCCGGAGGTCTACATACAGGAGGTCTACATACAGAAGAGGTCCTTTAGGCTAAACTGGGATTGTTTTTTTTTTTTTTTTTTAAAGTAGAAGGCAATTGAAAACACTTTCAGAACATTGCCAAGAAGTGGAGATTCTCGGTCATCCAGGTCATGATTGTCCCAAAGATGCTTTTTCAAAAGGGAACTGGGTTTCGTTTTTTCCTTGAAGATGTTTTGCTTCTCATCCAAGAAGCTTCAACAGACTTTGAGAAGCATCACTTTCAAATGTTCTGCCCAGCTGTATTCTACAGTACAACTTGCACAAATGTCTTTCTTCAGGCACTCATGCAGAAGGATACGATTTCTCTGGTTCCATCAGGATGAATTAACACTATATAGGATATTTTTCAAACAATTAAAAATTGCCCAAATGTTTTATTCAGATTGAATGGCAGGCGCAGGATTGTTGATCCTTCATCCAGATCAAGTCACTGGAGGGGAGAGTAAAAGAGACATTAAGCTGCCCAGATATCTACACCTCAAAGAAAAGTCCATGGGTATCAACAGGCACTTTACTCCTAATGAGAACAGCAGGGAAGAAGTAGCTTTCTCATTATGGAAATGGAAGTCTCTGAGTTCATGAGAAAAACACTCATTCGGGCAATTGCCTTCCATAAATAGTGTCGCATCCAGTTTCCCCCTGAAAAAAATCGGGATTTGGTAGCCCTTGCCTGTCGTATAGTATTTTGTTGCTACTCAAAATTGCATTTTTATGTTAGATAAGACAGGAGGCATTCTCATTGTTCTTCCTACTATTGTAGGATGATTTCAGCAGTCAATAGATCAAGGTCTAATATATGGGGAAGAAAAAAATTTCTGATTAGTCTGGTCTATGTAGTCCTTCACTTATGACCACAATTGAGCCCCAAATTTCCTGTCAACTTCTAAACGACTTCAGCCGAAGCCATATTTACTTTCGCTTCGTTTCTTAGTTGCCACTTTTCTGGGGGAAAGGGGGGAGTTAGAAAGTACTGGAATGCGGTGCCTGAATCCACTAAACAAAACATCCACAAGGTCATGGCAACAAACATCTGCTGAGACCGAGGGGGGAGCTACTGTTGGACTGATTAGTTAATGTGACCCAAGACCAGGGGTGAAATGCTACTGGTTCGGACCAGTTCAAGTGAACTAGTATTAAAAAAATGCTACCAGTTCAGCTGAACTGGTATTTCCGATGATCAGCTGGGCAACAATCAAAAACTAAAGACTTATAATTGACTTCAGGAGGAAGAGAGATGTACATCTACCATTGTACATAAATGGTGAGGAGGTGGAGAGGGTTGGTAGTTTTAAATTTCTGGGGATTTATATCTCGGAGGACCTCTCATGGACTATGAATGCTAACATGCTTGTGAAGAAGGCACAGAGGAGGCTGTACTTCCTGAGAATGCTCAGGAAGAGAAATCTATCTCAGTATCTACTTCTGTCCTACTATCGCAGCACCATTGAGAGTGTCCTGACATACGGCATTCTTGCATGGTATGGGAGCAACTTGCAGCAGAGAAAAAAGCTCTACAGAGAATCATTAAAACTGCCCAGAATATCATCGGACTCCAGCTACCAGCCCTGGACGACATCTTCGAATCTCGCTGTTTGAGAAAGTTGCAGAGACTCTTCCCATCCTGCTTACAATCTTTTTGGACTGTTGCCTTCTGGCAGAACATACAGAACAATTAAAACTCGGACCACACGTTTTCTGAATAGTTTTTATCGCAGAGCTATAACTGCACTCAACAATGAACTAAAGGGCCACCATCAGTGAGCTGTTGGACAGTATTACTTGGTCTGTTGTGTGGCTGTTTGGGTGGTTTAAGGGTGGAGAATTGCGGTGGGTGGGAGTGTGTTTGGTAATTGTTATGTGTGTTGGACCTGGTCTTGGGGTGTTAAGTGAATTTCATTGTATTGGTATACTGTGTATACACATACAATGACAATAAAGTTATTTATTTATTTATTTATTTATTTATCAACTGTGACCCGTGATTTATATTAGCTACAATCGCCAGATTTCCCACTTTCTAGCTAATCTAAATTGTGTGGCACAGAGGATCCCCCCTCCTCACTGTTCTATTTACCTTTGCAGACTCGGAAGTCTTCAAAATGCTCACAGAACCAGTAGCAGACTTCAGAGGATTTCACCGCTGCCCAAGACACCTGAGTGGGGTGGGAAGTTTCTATTCTTTTTATTACTCTGAAGCATGGGAAATTACCCAGAGCTAACTTCAACTTTCTAATTGCCGATATGATGTATTCAATAAAAGATCTTTCAAGCCTGAATGGAGCTTCCGGGTCCTGATTCAATTGGGTTCATTGCTCGGAACGATGACATTTCCATTGCTAAGCAAGACAGAGGCTAAGTAAGTTTTGTCCCATTTTATGACCTTTCTTAGAGGGGTGAAATGCTCCCGGTTCGGACCAGATCGCCCGATCTGGTAGTGATGGCTGCGGGTGGTTCAGAGAACCGGTAGCAAAAATCCCTGCCCCCACCCCCAACCCCCAATGCCCAGCTGAGCCGCGCAATCATCAGAGGCTTTTTAAAAAACTTTTAAAAGCATTTTTTCTACAACCTCCTCGCCCGAAAAAATGCTTTTAAAAGTTTTTTTAAAATATGCTCTGATGATCGTGCAGCTCAGCTGGGATCGTCAGAGGCTTTTAAAAGCATTTTTTTCTGCAACCTCTTCGGCCGAAAAAATGCTTTTAAAAGTTAAAAAAAAAAAAAAGTTGGCCATGCCCACCCAGTCACATTACCCCACCACCACCACCAAGCCACGCCCACAGAACTGGTAGTAACAAAATTTACATTTCACCACTGCTTTCTTGCCATAGTTAAGTGCATCACTTGTTTAGTAACATGGCTGTTAAGTGAATCTGGCTTCTCCATTGATTTTGCTCGTCAGAAGTTGAAAGAGGTGATCACATGACCCTGGGACATTGCAATGGTCATAAATACATGCCAGTTGCTAAGCTTCTGAATTTTGGCCCACAGGGATCCAAAGAAACCATGGGGATTCAGCAATGGCTATAAATGTGCAAAATGGTCAAAAAATCACTTTTTTCTGTGCCATTGTAACTTCAAACAGCAGTAAACAAATAGTCGTAAGTCAAGGTCTACCTGCAGTCTTAACAGCTGTAGGAAGAATTACTGGCGGATCCATACTTCCAGGTAAGGGAACCTGGAGATTAGGTAACACTGTGATCTGTCCCCGTCCACACACACACACAAACACAGCCAGCCGAGGGTTAAGGAAGCACTTGGAACACACCCAGCTCTTTATCTCCAACTTGGCAGCGATATACACGCCGTCTGCCAAGTGCTTTTATTTCCACAGAAAACAGAAAGATAAATACTCAGCTTCCAAACGTCCAACAACAATAAATATTCCTCCAAGCAGTTCCGAACGAGGCTTTAGTGACTATCCAAGGTTAGTTTTGTTCGTCACAGGGATCACTGGCCACCACCCTCTATTATATAGTCTCTGGGGTGTGGTCCAGTGACTCAGTTCTAATCCCTAGCATGCCTCCTGAGCTGCTGCAATCGTTTATCATGCCTTCGGAGGCGTGCGTCCAGGAATGATGTTTCTCCTCCGCTCTCATCCGAGCCACCTGTCTCCCTGCTAATCTCCTCTCCCTCAGCCGGCACCTGAGACAGTGCCAGAGGGGAGGGGCCTGGAGAGGGAGGCCTGGCTGACTCCTCTTCCTCATGCTCGGAGCTTTCTTCCTCCGATTGGACAGGCTCAGAGGGCGGGGCCACAACACACTGTTCTTCTATAGCCATGTGATGGCTCTGAAAGGGCTTCCCCTTGGAGATGAGAACTGCCCCTTCCAGGAAATTATTTCCCTTTAGGAAATTATTAAAAACAAAACAAAACAAAAATCCAGATGGCACTTTATTGAACTTCCTGATTTATTTATTTTTTTAAAAAATCATATATCATGCAATTTTTAAAAATTTCATTATCTTTATTTTTATTCCTGCCAGTATTTTACTGTGGACATTCTGTTACGCTGTTGCATACCAACCGCATAATGGTCTGTGGATGGTTTGTTTGTTGAAAAGCAAAAGCTGTAGGACGATAGTCCTCTGCTTGAAGAACTGCTCACTAGGAGTTGAAAATGACTTGATGGCACGTAATCAATCATCAAAACTCAATCCAATGGATAAATGTTAGACCGGTAACTTATAACAGGGGTGCTATTCAGCAGGTTCTGACAGGTTCTGGAGAACCGGTAGTGGAAATGTTGAGTAGTTTGGAGAACTGGCAAATACCACCTCTGGCTGGCCTCAATGTGGGGTGGGAATGGAGATTTTGCAATATCCTTCCCCCAGGATGTGGGGAGGGAATGGGGATTTTGCAATATCCTTCCCCCAGGAGTGAGGAGGGAATGAAGATTTTGCAGTATCCTGCCACACCCACCAAGCCACACCATGACCACCAAGCCACGCCCACAGAACCGGTAGTAAAAAAAAAATTGAATTCCACCACTGATCCATAGGGGATATCCAGATAACCCTAGACACAATCTTCTTCTGTATAGTATAGTAAGAAATATTGTGATTCTATTTAAATTTTGATGATGATGATGATGATGATGATGATGATGATGATGATGATGATATCTATTCAGTCAAGACCAAAACCTAATTCTATGGGCCAGGTCTCTATACCTCTGCCAATCTTGCACTGCTTCTTTGAGTTCTTCTATGCTCTGACTTTGATGGTGTCCAGCCATCATGTTCTTTGACAGCCTGGCTTCCTTTTACCGCTATTTCTTCCAAACATAATTGCTTTCTCCAGTGAAATTTAAATTTTACGAATATCTAGCAATAGCAATAGCACTTAGAGTTATATACTGCTTTCACAGTGCTTTTACAGCCCTCTCTAAGCGGTTTACAGAGTCCGTCTATTGCCCCCAACAATCTAGGTCCTCATTTTACCACCTTGGAAGGATGGAAGTCTGAGTCAACCTTGACCCTGGTGAGATTCGAACTGCCAAATTGCTGGCAGCAGGCAGTCAGCAGAATTAGCCTGCAGTACTACACTCTAACCACTGCGCCACCACGGCTCATTCATCTACATTTATATTCTCTCTGTCTCGCTCTCTGTCTCTGTCTCTGTCTCTCTCTCTCTCCCTCCCTCCCTCCCTCCCTCCCTCCCTCTCTCTCCCCTCTACTTTGGTGAACTACAGACCCCCCTACCCATTTCAGTCAATCCTGACTCCTGGCAATTGCTTGAACAACTGGAGCAGGGGTGGATTCTAAATTTTTTTACTACCGGTTCTGTGGGCATGGCTTATTTTGTGGGTGTGGCTTGGAGGTCATGTGACTAGGTGGCCATGGCTAGCTGGGCAGTCATTTCTGGAAGGTCCTCGCACTTACGACCAGTCCTCTCACTTACGACCCGACTCATTTGTTTGCTTTGATCAGCTGTAGGACGGCCCTTTGAAGCCCTGCAGCAAGAGTTTAAACAGTTTTTTTCCCTCTAGTCATCAGCTGGGACTCAGGAGGCAGAAATAGATTGGGGATGGGACCAAATAAAAGGTAAGAATAATGCGGGAGGGCGGGGAGGGAGAACCGGTTCGGTGACGTCATATCGTCACCGCTACCGGCTCGGCCGAACTGGACCAGACCAAACCAGGAGGAACCCACCACTGGACTAGGTCTTTCTAGTTTCTAGGCTGGTGCCTTAAAACATTACTCCAAACTAGTTCTCAAGTCATATCTACAAATATACAAATTATATGCTAACTGGGACCTTAGACAATCAATCATTCAATACTAGAGGAAATCAGGCCTGGTTGTTCTTTGGAAACAGGAATCATAAAACAAAAATTATCATTCTTTGGATACATCATGTGGGCTGAAGCATCTATGGAAAAGATGATAGTGCTGGAACAAGTGGATGGGGAAAGAGGCTAACAGTGCATGAAATGAATAGATGGCGCATTGGAAGCTATTGGGGTGCATCTGCTGAGGTTGGGCAATGCAGCAAGGGGCAGGATGGCTTGGAGACTTTTATCTGTCAATATCACCAAGAGTCAGCTGTCACTCAAGAAGCCATATAACATAATATATATTCTCTTTTATCTTTGGAGAGTAGGAGAATCAACCTTCTAGCAATGACCAATTTTGTATTCCCTTTGCAAAATTAGAAATGAGATGTGCCACATTCCTATTTAACAATGAGATGTGGGGTTTTTTAAAATAGAAATTATAGCAATCATTTCTGCATTCTTAATAGTGCCTACAAATGTCTATAAAATTTTACAGCAGTCTGTTTCTTTTGGATTTTTCCTCCTTCTCCTTCTCCTTGACACCAAATGGTGGTAGAAATGTTGTAGAAAGAGCTGACCCTTTTGTGTTGACATGTGTCATTGTCAAAATACAAGAATCATTCAGCAGAAGTGCTTAGTGCAATTTCTTCTATACACGGGTATAGAAGAACAATGTATCTGCTCACATGAAAGTAAAGAGGGTGAGAATCCTAGTGGGTAAAATAAAATGGAAAGTGAAACAGTTTTGCTTCCAATGGACCTAAATGATGCTTATGTAGCATGTAAATATGCTCTAAATAAAGTCCAGTTGTCTCCTGAAAAAAGCACATTTTTTCGACAGGGTTGGGTTCTACTTACCTTTACTACCAGTTTGCAACGGGGCCGCGCGCGTGCTCTTCTGCGCATGTGCAAAAGCGTTTTGATGATGTCAGGTTCAATGGGCAGAGCCTCCCGCTGGTTTTACTATCAGTTCTATAGAACTGGTGCCAGTGGTGGGTTCCTCCCAGTTCGGTCCGGTTCAGCCGAGCCAGTAGCGGTGACGATATGACATCATCGAACCAGTTCTCCCCCCCGCCCTCCCCCCATCCCCACCCACGTTATTCTTACCTTTTATTTGGTCCCATCCCCAATCTATTGCTGCCTCCTGAGTCCCAGCTGATGACTAGAGGGAAAAAAACTGTTTAAACTCTTGCCGAGGGGCTTCAAAGGGCCGTCCTATAGCTGATCAGTGTTAAAAGCAAACAAATGAGTCGGGTCGTAAGTGCGAGGACTGGTTGTAAGTGTGAGGACCTTCCAGAAATGACTCTGACCAGCTAGCCACGCCCACCTAGTCACATGACCTCCAAGCCACACCCACAAAATAAGCCACACCCACAGAACCGGTAGTAAAAAAATTTAGAACCCACCCCTGACTGGTGCGAACCAGGGGCAACCCACCACTGCTTTGGGACCTAGTCTGAGTTATTGCTCACAAGTTCAGCGCTATTTCTGGATAGAATCATTTC